GGGGGCAGAGGAAAGTCGTGCAGCCTGGTTTGGGTGCTCTGCCTGGGGGGGGGGCACCAGTCCACAGACACAGGGGGTCTTTGATTTGACCAGACAGGGCAGAATAGGACTGCTTCCTCCGTCACCTGACCCAAGCAGCCAATGCAGAGATAGATTGTAGCAGGATTTTCTTTTTCCTTTGGGCCACCAACCAGCTCCCAAGTCATAACACAGAGACTTCTTAATAGTTATGAATGTTCGGCCTAGCTTAGGCTCGGTTTTGGCTAGCTCTTTTAACTTAAACCAGCCTGTTTCTCTTCTACTTTTTGCCTCTGGGCTTTTCACCCTTCTTTATTCTCTATGTCTTTGTTTCCTTACTCCGTGGCTTTTTGGGTCTCCCTTGCTCTCTCCTCTCTTCTCTAGTTCTTCTTTTCTCTCTCAAGCCTAGATTTCTCCTCCGATTTATTCTCTCTGCCCACCAGCTCTGCCTATCTTTTCTCCTGCCTAACTATTGGCCATTAAGCTTTTTATTAAACCAATCAGGTGCCTTAGGCAGGCAAGGTAAAACAAATTTGACACATCTTTACATAATTAAACAAACGCACCATAAACAAAAGTAATACACCTTTACATAGTTAAAATAATATACCACAACAGTGGATAACTTGCACTCACTTTTCTTCCTTTTGCAGGGGATTGAAAGGAACATGCTAGACAAGTGCTGGACTGCTGAGACACATACCCAGACTAGGTAAGTATTCTGCTGAGATGTATACCTCGTCTGGCTTACTGTTTTTTCTTGAGATAGTATCCACTTGCTTTGTAGCCCAAGCATGTCTTAGACTTACTGTCTTCCTGCTCAGCCTCTCAAGTAGCAGGCCTGTGCTGCCGTACCCACTTTCATAGTCACTTCCTGACTCCCTCCCGAAGCTGAGATTAGCACCCATAGCCATGAGTGTGTTGGGAGGTTAACAGTGGCATTACCTATGGATTCTTACCCTGTCATTTGTCCTGACTCTGAGAGATGTCCCACTCCCCAATTCTAAGACACAGGCATCCAGGAGGTAGTGTCTTTGGCCCTGCCATTGTTAGCCACTGAAAACCTGGCCCACGGGCCTCCAGCTCTTTGCTCTGATCCTGGCAAGTGTGATATAAACACTTGACAGAGGGAGGTGTGGGGAGGCTGGTGTCTTCCTTTCTGTACTTTCTGAGGTCCCATGCTTACAGAGCTCAGATTGCTGGCAGGGAATGGAGCTCTGCCTGGAAACAGATCCCACAGCTGCCTTACCACAGGCTTCTCCAAAGGAAAGAGCTTTTGGGGGGGGGGCAGACTTGTGAGATGCATCAGGCCCCCGAGCCCCATCACACTGACTGCTGCTTGCCCAGTATTTCAGCTCTGCCAGCTCTAGAGTTTTGAGCAGTTCTGATCTGGAGAGAAAGTTTCAAGGCTCAACACAGGAGCCCCTCTGGCTAGGAGAAAAGGCCTGACCTTTGCCTCAGTGTTGCAATGCTTCTATCTGCGGCATGTGGATGGTAGCGAGGTAGGGTGTTTGCTGGGCTCTGTGGTGCTGTTTACTGTCTGAGCTCCAGGAACTACTCGACCCCCAGTCTCTTCATCTGCCTGGAACACTGGACAGTGAGACTTCATCCATAAACTCCCAAGGGAAAGTACCAGTGAACTAGGGAAGCCTGGCAAGTGTCTCTGAGTGTCTGTGCACAGTGAGCCTCAGGAAAGACTGATGTAATAATAATAGGGTCCTAGCTCCCTCCCCCACACTTCCCTCTCCTCCCTCTGGGCCTCATGAGGGGCTCTTCTCCCAGGAGATGTTGCCTCCCCCTCATGTGCTCACTGAGTGAGAAAGAGCCTGTCATTGTCACCACCTGTGCTGAAGGGCTTCCTCTGTGTGCAAACAGGAAGCCTCTCACCTCTCAGGAGCAGGGGGTACTCTAGCCTTGCTGCCCTGCACATCTTGGCTGTGTGAGCTGTGGGCTGCAGAGTGCGTGGGCGGGTCAGGATGTGTTTGGGTTTGGAGGGGTTGGTAGACTGGGGAGACTCCATGAGTGAAAGTAGAGGGATGGCAGACGTAAATAAAGTTCGCTACTTGGGACCCCGGGACCAGGGGCCGTAATGTCCCTGTAGCTGGGGGCCTTGTTGGCCTCCACCAAGGGGTTCTCTACCCAGAGTTCTGCTTCTTATAGTATCAGGAGATGAAAGTTCTAGAAGGTGCTTACAAGCTGAGGACTCCAGAAGTCAGGGAAGTCTTTCAGGTTTCTCTTTTGTTTTGAAGTGATGTTAAAGGGAGGGACAATCTTGAGTCGGGTACTCCACTGTCAAGCAAATGCAATTCACTGTCACCCCTAAATGACTGAAGAAGGAAGCAGACTACCTGAGCAGTGGCAAACCAGATCCAGGGAGCAGAGTGCTGTGGATCACTAGGGAGCCAGAGCCCCCCAGTGAACAAGATAATCCTGCTCACCTCTTTGTCTCTTACACACTGTGACCATCTGCCTCAACCATTACCTCCAGTCCATAAACTCTCGGTGGCCATGTTCAATGAAGGCTCACTTATGTTCCTTTTGATATTCCCCGACTTTCCAGTAGCCTTCAGCACAGCTGACCACTTCCTCCATCAGAAGCAGCCTCTCTGTCTTGTAGTAACATTGTCTTCTGTTTCTCTCACCTTCTTGAAAGCCTCTCACTAGCCCCCTTTACAGACCTCTCCCTTCCCATCCTGGTGGGCCCCACCACTCCTGGCTCAGATACCTCTCTGGAGCCACAGGAGCCCCTAAACTCCAGGCACGGTGTTCAGTGCCTGCCTTCATTTCACAGATATCTAAACCCAACATTTAAAAAGTCCAACTCTTCATCTCCATCCAAAAGCTTTCTTCCCCGGCGCTTTTCCAAGTGCCACTGTAAGCCCTGTCCAGACCCTCAAAACGAGTCTTCCCTCCCACCTTGACTCCTCCCATCTGCTTAAGCAGCCAGACTTCTCAGTTGTTCCCTGTCACAGACACTCTCCTCTCTGCTCTTCCTTACCTGGACAGCACCCCCACCCCAGAAGCTTGCTGTCAGGTAGCCCCTGGTGGTTGTTCTTTATTTAGTGGTCAAATGAAGCATAAACCCTCCTTTGGCCTCAACTACCAGCTTCAAGTGCACCTTGGTCTACAGTTGTGGACCTAGTGAACTCCGGCGGGCCCTGCCTCTCTTGTACCTGGACTTCTCCCAGTGCCAGGCCTATGACTCTTACCCGGACATTAGACTTTTCCCATCGCAGATAAGAAATTGGACCTGCAGCCTGCCCTGCTCTTCCGTGTTGGGCCCTTTCCACGTGGGTATAAATAACATATCTCTGCCTAGGCCTCCCCTGATCTCTGTAGCAGTGAGCTCACACTGCCCCCCTCCCTAGCTTCTCTCCACCCCTTCCTGCCAGCACTCTAGGCATTCAGTGAGCAGATGCTGGTTAACTAGCGGGTGTACTCCCTTATTTTGTGTCTCTAGATTGGAAGCTCCCTATGAGCAGGCAGCACATTTTATTCCTGGCTGACCAGCAGTTTCTAATGTGAGGATGAATGGAAACACAAGAGAGCCTGAGAGGTTTGCTTCTAGGATATGCACTCAGGTTTCAGATTTACCCAACTATGTGGAGAATTGTAAAGTCCCGAATGCAGGAGGTGTTACAGCTTGGATGAGAAAATGGATCAGGATATGTTGAACTGGGGGTGTTTGTGAGATTAAGTTGTGCACAACACTTACTTGCCAGCCTTAGAAAGTGGTTGGTTTGGGCCTGCCAGGACCAGCAGGCTTTCGTGTGTTGTATCAAATATATAAGTTTCCGGAAGCTGACAAACTGTCGTGTTAATTGTGTCTTGTCGTACTGCCTTATTGTTAGCTTACAGGTCCAGGTCTGAAGCAGAAACCTGTTTCCTCACAATGTGGCTCCTGGAGCAGAACCTATTCCCATCTTGGCCTCTGCCTGGCCCCACCTCTCCCTCTCTTCCTCCCTCTGATCCTGTATCACAAGCTCAGGGTGGGGGGAGGGAGAGGGGTGACAAGCATGACTCTAAGCCCTACCTCCACCCCACCCTCTGTTATCAGCTCTCTAGCCTGCCTAAACCTAGTCTTAAGCTGTACAGAGTTGCAATGTCTGGGGGAAAAGTCACTCAGGCCCGAAGCAAAGAGCTCTAAGACTCTCCACACCCAGAGGAGTATGTGGGTCCAGGTATGAGCATCTCTATGGATTCCCTCCACCTGTAAGAGAAGGACAGCTGGAGGAGGGCCTGAGCCAAAGTCGGGCCCTCTCAATATAGGCCAAGCACACAAGGCCCATGACAGAGGCCTTGGCAACATCACTATTTACAGGCCAGTAAAGAGGGCCCAGGGAAGGTAGGTGGGTTTATGAGAACTAGAGTTATGGCTAGGGTAGGGTCTTTGGATCCTCAGCAGAAAATTAGTGGAGCCAAGCCTCAGAATATGGATTGTTTACATTGGTATGGCTTCTGTATCATGCTCCTGCCCCAGGGACTTGTGTCTGGAACTCAACTGTTGGGAATGGGCAGTATTTAGTTGTTGTGCTCAAAAGGCTTAGTTTGAATCCAGCTTTGCAACTTCCCCTTTGTGCAAGCTGAAGTGCAGCTGCCCTTATACAAGGACTGGAGCAGTCACACTTGTGAGGTTGGAGTGAGGAGGACGGGTTAAGGAGCTTTGGGGGGGAGTAGGGGTAACCTTTGATAGTATTTCAGGTGTCATTATCAATGGTGACATCGGACATGCCCATATAAAAATTGAAATGTCATATGTGAGAAACAAAATACTTGACTTGAGGCCCTTCTGTCTCTCATTGCTAACCCTTCAGGGGACCAAGCTGAGGCAGAGACAGAACCACAGGGAGGAAGGAGGAGGGGCCTGTTCACAGCCCTGGCCACATCTTCCCCTTTCTCCCAGGCCCTGGTGTTGTAGGGAGAGGGCCGATCTGTGGCAGGTTCATTCTGGGGGGGTGCTCTAGGGTAGTGGCTTCCAAGGATCAGGCAGCATCAACAGGGTATGGGGCCAGGAGAGATGCTGAAGCCGGAAGTGGAGGCCCTTGTCTTGTGGGCAGGAAGTGTGAGGTACTGAGCTGCTCTGAGAGCTAGGGCGCCTTTGGGAGCAGGAGGGGTATGTGTCACAGTGGTGAGGGGAACGGAAGTCGGAAGCGTCAGTGGCCACATTCACGGGCGGCAGGCAACTGTGCAGCAGAAAGTGTTCCTGGGGCAGGGGAGTCCAGGAGAGCCCCTTCTAGTCCCTGAAGGTGAGCTAGGTGGGCTTACCCGGGGTGGGGCTGGGAGAATCTGGGTCAGGGGGCCAGAAAACAGAGTTGTATGTGGTCCCTCGTGGTTGAGGTTAAGGATAGGTACACTGGATGGAGACAAGTTTCTGGGCTTACCAATCAGTACTTGAGTACCTCATATGAGCCTGACCTCACTGGACCCTTGCCTTCTCCTATCTTCCTGCCATGCAGTCTATCCTCTGCCTAATTCTCTCTCTGGCCTATCTTTGGTATTTTTTTCTTCCTCCTTTGCCCAGGCCCTCCGGAAACTTGTAAGGTGAAGAGTGAAGAGGCAAGGTAACTTGCCTTAAGTCTTCACTCACGCCTACTGTGGCTGAGGTCCCAGCTTGCCTTGACTGTAGATCCTGGAAGGCTGGAGTCCCAGGAGAGTGCTGGAGCAGCTCTGGGTGTGGTCACCACACAAATGAGGTCTAGGTGCTCCCTGCTCAGCCCTATTCTCCGGGCCCCACCCAAAGAGGCTGGAGTTAGAAGGAGGAGCACCCCCCTACACACACACACACACACACACACACACACACACAAACTTGTTTAGCCCTCATTTAGGACTATTTTCCTGATGTGTGTAAGAGGAACCATGTCACTCCAAAAGTGTCCCCTGAGACACTGTAAGGCCCATTAATGTCTCTTGTAACTGGTCCTCAGCTCCTGCTTCCATATTCCAGGACCTACAAGTCCATAGTTAGAGTCACTCTAATACTAAAAGGCTGAGAAGGTTGTGGCATCAGTACCAGGACTATGAGACCTTAGCATGAAAGAACAGGCTCCAAGCAGGGGTGTCCCCATAGTCCCCAAGGCTATGTATGGCGCATCATACCACCTCTTCTAAGAACCACTAGTGTAGAGATCATAACCCAGATGCTGGGGTGAGAGGACCAAGGAAGGGAGGCCTGGCCTGACCCCCTAGGGGTCCTCCACTTTCTGAGCCCATAGCTATTCCTGAGCTTTGATTTAGGTCAGCTCCCCCCACCCCCATCAGCCTTTGCTCTCCTTGTGAACCTTAGCTGGTTTTACCATATCCTATTGGAGGCCACTCACCCCCAACATTTGCATGAAGGCTCCCTCAGGAGCAAGATATGGTACCTTCCTTAGTCACTTCTCACAGTGCTCTGGGTAGAGGTACCAGTCCTGTCATTCCATTCCAGGAAACTCCATTTGTGGTGAGTGTCTTTTGATTTGGATGTTGTAGATGTCCTTCCCCCAGGGACACTGCCATTGTCTGAGCTAATGTAGATAAAAGAGCTCACCTCCCATATCTCTGGAAGGATCAGGGCTGTTATGGAGTAAAAGGAAGGAACCAGGCTAACTTATTAAGTCTGTTAAGTCTGTGTGCTTAAATTGGAGGGTTTGTGTGTGTGTGTGTGTGTGTGTGTGTGTGTGTGTGTGTGTGTGTGTGTGTGTAAGGGGTGTCATATTCCAGACAGAGGCTAGAAGGCTGCCTCCTCCAGCAGGCCAAGAGCTGACAGCGTGTGCATTCGTGCATGTGTTATTTACTTTTGCTTCACTCTAGGTGAATGGCAGAGTGACAGAGTTGGGCTGGAAAGACATGACAGTTTCTTGATCACCCTCCAAGGACCAGGCCCAGCATTAGCACTCAGACCAGTTCCCACTGCATAGCAAGCCTGCTGAGTGGCTTTTCAGTCCTATTACAGATAAGGGACCAGATGAAGTTTCCCTCAGTCACATGGCTAGTCAGTTGGAGAGTTAGAATGTGAATATAGTCTGTGCGCCTCTTCATCAGCATTCTTCACTGTCACTCTGGTCCAGGTCATCTCCCTTCCTCCTCAGGAGTGGCTTGTCTCTGTACTCAGTCTCTCATTCTTTTTGTATTTTTCAAGACAGGGTTTCTTTGTCTAGGCTTGGTTGTCCTGGAACTAGTGCGGTAGACCAGGTTGGCCTCAAGCTCAAAGAGATCATCCTGCCTCTGCCTCCTGAATGCTGAGCTTAAAGGCGTGTGCCACCACCACTACTACCACCCCCACCCACCCCCACCTCCTACCCCACCCATCCCCAGCTCAAGCTCTCATTTTTAATAGAATAGAAACCTAACTCTATAAGCCAGGAGTAAAGCAAATCCACTGTAGAAAGGTACAATCCAGGTATCCTCTCTGCTCCCTTCTAACCTCCAAAGATCAAAAACACGTCTGGGTTGTGGATGTTGCTCATTTGGTAGTCTTTGCCTAGTGTGCACAAAGTCCTCTGTTTGATTCCCCAACACCATATAAACCTGGCATGTCATAGCACACCTGTAATTGTAGCATTCATGAGGCAGGGGTATTAATTAGCATCTATCATCCATGAGCTCGAACCCAGCCAGGGGTGGTGCATAAGGAGATCCTTTTTGTGGCAAAACTAAAAGAAAAAGGGGGGTGGAAATCATTGGGAGCTCTAAGCTAGGGTAAGAAGGCCTTATCTCCTGGTCACCTGTGTGTCACTTATGTCCCACCAGCTGTATGTGCAGCTTAGTCCATGCTACATATAAAAAAATATCCTCCTATCGAAAATTACCAGGAATGCAGAGCTCAGGACTGGGGCAGAAGATGTACAACGAAACTGCTCTCTTTCCTGCCTCACTGCCTGGTCACTCCTCCCCATGTCCTGAAACACTTAGTCTTTTCCTGGCTTTGCAGAGCCATTCTGCATTCCCCAGAATGTGTCCTTAAACTTCCTGAGTCATCACAGAACTCCGAAATATGAAGAGCTACTTCATTTATTTAGAGGCAACAGAACCCCTCTTTTTTTCATTTTTATTCGATTTAGTATTTTTTTTTATTTCATTTTACATTCCAACCACAGTTCTCCTTCCCACTCCTCCTCCCCCAAACATCCCTGGACTCCTCCAGTCCTCCCTCACCTCCACTCTAGCCCACCCCAGTCCATTCCTCCTCACGGGTAAGGCTTCCATGAGGAGACAACATAGTCTGGTATAATCTGTTGGGGTAGGGCCTGGCCCCTCTCCCTGGCATTAAGACTGAGAATGGCATCCCACTATAGGGAGAGAACACCAACAAGCTAGCTCATGTACTAGGTATGTATCGTGGTCCTACTGCCAGGGGCCCCTCAGATAGTCCAAGCGTCACAACTGTTTCCCACATATGGGAGGTGTTGTCTTTTATTGCTGAATCCTTTCCTCACTGCTTTCTTTGTTCACTATCTGAGATGAGAGATTTCGAAAGAGATTTTACTGGTCTGATCAAAGAAGTTAGTCAGTAAAGGAGCTGGCCACCAAGCTCAAGGACCAGAGCACCATGCTTGGAATTCACATGATGGAAGGAGAGAACTAATTTCCTCGAGTTGTCCTCACACACAAATACAAAATAAGCTAATACACATAAGAAAGGAGGGCGGGGACATGGCCAGGAAGAGATTCCACTGAACTTGAGAGGTGGAAAAATCAAGAAAATTGTAGAAGCCTGCCTAAGTCACGCACATACTCTACTCTCTTGTTTCTTCTGGGGGGGTGGGGTGTGGGGTGGGACTGGTCTCAGTTTTCACCCAGGTGACTGCTAGGACAGGTTCAATGGCCATCTTCAGATCATCCAGCCCATCCATTCAGGAAGGGTTGCTGAGAACTAAAGGGAGAAGCACACTGATTTGTGGATGGGAACCAAGTGCTGCTTTCGGCCTGGGTCCAGACCCCAGCTCGTTCACTTGTTCCCTGAGACACCTAGGAAGCTCTGTGAACCTCTCTGAACCTTAGCTTCTTTGCTACAGAGAAGTGGATGTTTTGGTTTGCCTCATTCACGGAGAGCCTGGTGAGAGATGAGCTCATGGCTATTTAGATAGATAAGTAGCCCATTTGTAGGAGCTAGATAACATAAACTGTTCCTTCTCCCATGGTTTTGGGTTGCCAGATAAAACACAGAATGCCCAGTTAAATTTAAATGTCTGATAAATTAGTAAGGTGTTGCAAGCATGTCAGAGATATTGGGAGAGCTGGATTTTTGTTTTGCTTTTCATTCTTTTAAAAAACGTTATTGGGTATCAACCCAGAGCCTTGCACATGGTAGATAAATACTCTATCATCTACATGCCCAGATCCCTTATATGTTTATCTCCTAAAATTAGCAACCCCACCATGAAGGTGTACACCATCCATATGGCCTGGTTTCTGGGAACTGAGGCCAGCCTTCAGGCTTTAGAACCCCATATAAAGAGGTCTGAACATCTCAAGTCAAAACCAGTCTTGAATTTTTGACCTACTTGAACTAAGTAAGGATAATGATATGATTCCAAGAAATGTGTGGGTGGGACTAGGGAGGACATGATCCGACACCCCAGTAATAAGATTCCACAGTGAACAGGAAACCCCAGGGAACCTGCCTTTCCAAGCTTATTTCTGGGCAACAAGAACCCCCTGGGTAAATCACTGAGAGTTGAAATAGAGCAATGTGGAATGCAGACAGGTTGACTTTAATTGTTTTAAAAGAATCTTGGCCCAGTCAAACCACATACCAACCAGCAGCTTTTGAGTTTTCTGAACTCAGCTCTCTTTCCCTTTACCTCAATTTCCCTTGGCCTCCTAGACCCTTCTCTCCCTGGGTCTTTCAGATACCAGACCTCAGAGATCTGTTCTCTCCTCTTTGTATTTTCTTTCAACCTCTCCCCTCCCCTCATCTTTGAAAACTTCTGAGGAGGAATACTGGATTTCTTCTAGGAAGGCAAACCCAAATAAAATCCAATATTCAATGATGTCCGTGGTAGCCATGAACACACTCCATTATTGCTGCTTAATGCACATGCATGCATGTATGTATAAGTACCTATTTGCAAAGAGACACATGGGATTCTCTCTAGGCTTTGGTGTCCCTGTTCTCATTCCCAAGATCACACATGCACATGACCTGTCTCTATGTGAGAGTAAGCGAGTTGTTCTGGCTACCTGCATAGATGGACCTGAGGCTAAAACACATTAAGATGTGGCACATGGGGTCAGGGATGGGTCCAAGAGGAGGGATTACACACAGAAGGGGAGCCTGGCTTAGCTGGGAGCAGGATTTAGCTGGGAGGGGGAGGGTGTGAAGCTCTACCTTGAGGTCTGGGAAGAGAGGGTGAGCGGGGGCTGCATTGCATCATACTCCAGCATCTGTAACCAGAATTCTTCACATGTTTCTCTTCTAGCTTCAGTGTGGATCACTTTCCCAGTTCTTTATTGCGCCCAATGGTCCTTAACTTGACTATTTCACGTTCATCTTTCACTCGAACATTTTCTACCAGGCAGACCCAAGGGTGATGGTGGCCATTCAGGGAAGTTGCTAATACAAGAACATATATTAGTTTCCTGTTACTATAACAAATATTTGAAAAAGAAATGTCCTATAAAGAAAACTTGTGTTTCAGCTCATAGTGGTAAAGGTTCTAGACCACAGTTGACTAGCCTGCTGTTTTGATTTTATAGCAAGACATCACATCACTGTGGAAGTACATGGCAGAGCAAAGCCATTCAACTCATGGCCCAGTCCCTTTCATGGGTGTGCCTCCAATGACCCCGCCCCCTAGGGGAGGTCTTGTAAAGTTACTAGTGCCAAGCTGGTGACAAGACTATAATGAATGAACCTTTGAGGGTCCTAACTCCAGCAGGACCTGAGTTACATATATTCCTTCCTTAATAGAGGTAGGGCTGTCTGAGGCCTCTTACAGAGAGTGGTCAGGGCAGAAATGAGCAGTTGCATAGGCAGCAAGGTTGCCCATCTTGCCCTTTTGACTTAGATAGCAAAGGCTACTAGTCCTCAGCCTCTAGTCCAGGGTTGGAGATTTGTGACAGGAAATGGAAGTAAGGATGATGAGTGCAGAACGAGGAGAAGACTGACAGGGAGGCCACATTCAATCCATTTGATTCAGAGCTGAGGTTGAATATAGGAAATGGTTCTGCTTTTTCTGGAAATCTATCTTTGGAAGAGACTGACATCACTAAATAATAGAGAATCTTGAAGCCTGCCTGGTCAGGAGCCCTTCCCAGGGTGCTAGAATTTCAAAACTTTATTAACATTGAACAACTCCAGGTTCATATTATAATGAAGTGAGAAACAGAACATGGTATCAGGACAGAAGGAGGAGGGAAACCCAGGTAGGAACTTTTATTTATTAGTGTCTTTTAGAAAAAGGCTTTGATGATAGAGACTGGCATACATATTAGCGCCATCTCATTTCTCTCCAGCATTCTTACACAAAGCCATGTCTTTTAGGTAATCTTAAACAGTAGATAGATACCACCCAGCCTTGCTATATAAGCTCTGAGGATTACCATCAAGCCTGGGTTGACAGTGGTGGCAGCTTCCCTCTGAGGTGGGGCCCTCTATAACTGGGCCCTCCACAAATGACCCTCGGTCACAGGGCTAATTTTCTAGGTCTGTCCACTCAGCTCTCAGTAGCAAGGAAGGGTAGGTAGCTCCAGGTCCTGTGGTCATTGGTTCATAACCACACTTTTTTCTGCTTGACATGGAGGAATTGAACTGCCCCATAGGTTTCATTATTATTATTATTATTATTATTATTATTATTATTATTATTATTATTATTGAGCTATATATTTCCTCCACTACCCTTCTCTCCTCCCATCTTCCCTTCCATCCTCCCTCCTGCCCCCCACATTCCCAATTTACTCAGGAGGCCTTGTCTTTTTTCCCCTTCCTAGGCGGATCCATTTATGTCTCTTTGTTACCTTGGTTCTTTGGGGTCGTGGCCTGTGAGTTTCTAATATATTCTCAGGGCACTATACACCAGGTAAGACGACCCCCACCCTCTTTAACGCCTGATCCTGGGAAAGGCTCCAAGGAGGTGGTGCTAGCCGAGGCCAGCTGGGCCACATCCCCTTGTGAAACAGGGAGAGGTTCCTTCAGCAGGGAGTGGGCTGAGGAAGCTATGGAGTGAAAGGTAGGGAGTGTCTGAAGTCAGAGCTGGGTCACCCTTCCCAGCCATGGGCATTAAACCAGGTTTGGGCTGTGGCTTCCTTGTTTGTGTGACAGGGAGGCAGCAGGCGTGTAGTCATCTTTCAGGAGCCAGGTTATTTAGGTGGTAGTGAACATAGGCATAGATAACTGGACACATAGAAGGGACTGTCATTCTTGGCTGTATGGGAGTCAGCGATTGCCAGAAGATTGGGAAGGCATTTCACACATTCATTTATTTATACTCTGCCCCCCCCCCCATATACATCAGTGCATTTTTCAAGCCAGGGGTGTGTTTAACACTGAAAACACATGTCATCTGTGTACTTAGAGCTGCACTTCCTGGGGACAACACAAGAGGGAAGCAGGTCCCAAATCATGAGTTTCAGTGTCCAGCAGATTAAAATGAGTCATTCACTAACAGGAATCTGGGCCACTCTGGCAGCCATGTAACTGTGCATCTCACCCAGATGGTGGAGATGGTGCTCAGCAACATTCCATATGTTCCTAAGTTCACCTGCTGAGGGCCCGCCTCAACTAGAGGGAGTGATGTACCGGAACGCTCCCTTCGAGTTTGAAGCTCAGGCACATGTGGCCATTGATTTCTGGTCTCACCTTTCTCTGGAAATGGACACTTTCACCTTTAGGAAACAAGTGCTGTGCTCCTTGGTGGAGGCAGAGGGGCTGGAGCCTCCTTCATGAGGCTGAGTGAGTGGGGAACTTCTGCCTTAAATTGCCTCACTGCATAGCACACAGGGAAGCAGCCTATGTACTGGTCTTGGGAATGGTGCAGGCCCACAAACAGAACCTGTATTCTGAGAAGTTAGCTTTGCAGGCCATGGCTCTGCTGACCTGGTGCCTGATGCCCCTGTGAGCTATGCCCCTCTCCTTGTCTCTATAGCCCCTGTCCGATTCATGCACACTCAACTTACAAGTCTGTTTGGCTTTCTGCTGCTCTTGTGGTGCCCTGAGGTGTTCTGTTTCTGCTGATCCTACCCCTGTCTCTGCCTTCTCTAATTCAAACCCCCAAGAGAATGAACCGATCTGACCCGTGTATTCTTTTTGTGCTTAGCCACACGGGATCCCTTCAGCCAACAGATGGGTATCTGTGGAACAAATGTTCTGATGCCAGTTTGAGGTCACAGGGCATGTCTGGGACACCCTCCCCCAAGACAGGGCTGAGAGGTCAGTGTCCCTTAGCAGATGACCCTAGGCATGGGTTCTGGGCTTATCTAGCACTTTAGACACAGGACTTCAGTGGGTTTTGGTTCTTCTCTAATCTTTGCTCGTGTTTGGCATTTACAGGCTAGTTGTGAATCTCCAGTTCTCACCTTGGCTTGGACACCCACTAATCCATGAAATGGGATTGTGAAAATGGACGCTACCTAGGGCTTCTGCTCAGCCTTCACTCTGTAGGTGATGGGTGACAATAGACCCTCGCACCACCTCAGGCCCATGGAATTTCTCAACATTCACCTGGAAGACAACCTACAGCCCTGCCCTGGCACATGTCCAAATGAAATGTGTGGCCACCCAGACCCTTCTGAACCTTGCCAGGAACAATCCTGGCCCCTTGACCCCCCAGAATCCACCAGGAGTGATGCTCATCATGGTAGTTCTGGTGTGGAAACCACTCGCCTGGGAAGCTGCTCTTTCCAGGGGGAGGCCAGGCAGACTCCAGCATCTCTGCGCTCAGTGGGGGACAACTGTTCTTTGGGGAGTCCACAGCAGCAGAACCCGAGCTCATCCACACAGGTGGTGTTCTGGGCTGGCATCCTGCAGGCCCAGATGTGTGTCCTGGACCTGGAGGAAGAGCTGGAGAAAACTGAGGGACTCAAGGCAGAACTGAGGTGCTGCATCCCCCCACCCACTAAAGATTTCCTTAGTGATGTGGGCCTGAGCCCCAGCCTGCCCAAGGAGGTTGAAGACCCTGGAGATGACAGCAGTGAGCCTGACGAGGAAAACCAGACCTGGCCGGGGGAGCAAATACCAGGCTCCTCCCCCGAGTGGGGTGCTGAGGAAGACAGCATCTTCTTTGACAATCCCCTCTTCCTGGAGAGCCCTAGCTCTGACACCAGTACTGAAGGAGAATGTTTTTCCTGGGGGTACCCAGATTCTCACCAAGATATGAAGCCTCATAGCCCTCAAGCCCTGCATTCTTCACTCCAAGAAGGCACAAGGCTCTCGGGGGCAGGAAGTGAGCTGGATCATAGTGGGCATGTGACCTCCCCATTCCCGGTGCCTTCCTATAAGCTGCACCCCTGTTTGGCCTTAGAGTCCGCTGAAGGGGCTCCTACTGTACTACTTGAGCAGGAGGGTGAGGTAAGTTAGCTGAGGAAGCCAGCCAAGGGCTGGGCTGGGGACACGGTGTGTGGGGAGATTTCTCAGGGGCACAGGCCCAGGATACTGTTCAGAAGGTAGAGTTTTAGGGGATCTAAGGTGAGAGGACACCAAACTGACTAGTGTGTACACAGTTGGGGAGATGGCCCAGTGGTAAAGTACTTGCTGTGCCAGCTCGGGGACCTGAGAACCCATGTAAAAGCTGGGTGTACACTGAATAATAATCCAACACTGAAGGGGGGAGTATAGAGACAGGAGATTCCACGATCCCAACAGCCAGCTGCTCTAACCAAGATGGCAAGCCCCAGGTTCAGTAAGAGATACTCTGTCTGAAAAAATAAGGTGGAGAGCAACAGAAGACTCACTAACATCAACTTCTGTCATCTACATGTTGGACACGTTCACCTGAAAGTACCACACTCATGCACACAGACATGGACATATACAGACACACAGAGAGACACCTATGTGCCTCTGCACAGCACACATAGACACACACACATACACATAGACACATGTACACAGGCACACCACATCTTCTCACAAAGATTGACTCCATGCCTTAGACTTTAGAATAAAGAGAAAATTTTATCAGTATAATAATGTTATTTGGATCACAGATGCAATTAAGTTTAGGAGTCTCCATGTCACCAACTTCAAAGAACCAAGACTAGATGACTGGCATAGTGAACAGGCAGCTCCTCCCTTCATGGTATTCCAAACCATTCTGAGATCCTCCCCTCTACTTTCCAGGCATCGTCAGCTGTCACCAAGCAACCTAAGATGACCTTTGTTCCCAAACAGAGAGCTAGCTATTATAGGAGACTTGTCCTCTCTTTTGAGAAGTTTTAGTTCCTATGCCTTATGACAATGGCATAGGAGCCTTATATCAATCAAGGTTTGTCACAAGCTATGTGACACTTTTCCCAGAATTCTCTGCTTTAGCAATAAGAGGAACTCAAGATGGCAGAGAAGGCTGTGACCTTCTAATCTCTCCAATTCCAAAAAACAATGGGGATCAGAGGACTGTAGTCCTTTGGAGATGCCTTGTCCCAGGACTGCCCTCCAAGGCTCTAAGTCCTTAGAGGGAAGCCTGGGAACCCCGACCAGGAGGGGGTTGGCATCATCCACACTTAGGGCCATCTGGACAGTCTGTGAGTAGGAAAGGTCTTACAAGGAGTTAGGAAGGGCCTGGAATGATTTTGTGGGCAAATCAAGGGTCCCCTCTTTCAGACTTCTCTGGAAGATGATGTTAGCCCTGGCTCACCTAAGGCACCCCCTGTGGACCATGAATTGATCCAGGAATCAGATAACTTTAGATTTGACCTTAGTTCTGCCACCACACATCCTGTGCAGCCTTGGGCAAGTCTCTTCCCCTGTGTGCCTTACCTCCCCAATCTATGAAGAACCCTGACCTCACTGGTTTCAAGGGCTCCTGTGGTGTGGAGCCTCTCCCATCCAGACTGTTGTCCATGGGTTCTGGGAAGGGAGGGGCTTCCATGTAGTCTTGACATCATTCATTTCAGCTCTTTCCATTCACTCTCTCTATTCATTGCCTCCAGGGCTCTCAGACACCCCAGAGCCTCCCAGATCTGGCTCCACCCATACTTGAGGACTTGCAGATAGAAGATCCTTCCTGGTCCCAGGAGCCTCTTATCTCCCAGAATAGAGGTGAGATCCAGTGTGGGGACCTGGGAAAGTGAGTGGTGGGAGGCTTTGGGATTCAGTGAAGACTGAAGTCCTTGTTGGATTCATTGTACAGTGTTGGAGCCAGACATGCTTAGGATTAATTCTTCTGTGCCTTCACAGATAAAATGAGTTTTCCAATACTTATAGAATGAAGGGCTTTACACAAGACACAGCACATTTCATGTCTGGGTCTTACTGGCTCAGCAAAATTCTTGAACCCTGAGCTGTATGGGGACAGGAGTTCTGGAAGCTGCCAACAGATAGACAAGGAGAGATCACTGTCGGCAGCAGAACCAGACATCGTGCCCAGTTCCAGGGAGGTATCCAAGAGGAGGAGGTCTAGAGGCAGCAGCCAGCTGTTTTCCTGCCTCCAGTCCTGAGTATGCTCGTTCCCACCATTCCTCAGGTGAGAAGGATGCTGGCTGCTTCCAGGAGCCCATGCCCTGTTCAGTGGCCCCCTGGAGGTGCCAAGCCTCTTCACTAGAGCCCAGCAGGCCCAGCCCTGTGTCTTCCCAGGAGAGCAGCCCACAAACAGAGGTCCACAGTCCCAAGTGGCCACAAGATGCTTCACACCCTTTGCTCTTGGAGAAAGATGAATCAGGGTTAAGTTCCCTGAAGATAGAGGAGACAAAGGAGGCCCCAAACCTAATGCAGAAGGCAGAATGTGAAGATCCAGCCAGGACTGAGGAAGCTTCAGCTGCCAGATACCATGTTCGCTTGACTTCTGCCAAAGGGTGAGTCTCAGCCCAGCTGGCTCGTGGGTTCTTAATTGTCGTGTGATAAGAAGACCCTGGTTTAAGTGAAGCATGAGAAGTATACATTGGATTTAATGTGCCAATGCTTACTTCCATCTCCATGACCACGTTACATGGATTATATAGAATGCCATGGGTACACTTTCAGAAGACTGGAATGTTCAAAAGTACACCAAGCAGATTGTTACAAAGAGTCAAGATTTAAACATACAGAAACAGAATCATTAGTGCCCCCAGCTAGATACCAAGAAAGGAAGAAGTCTGGGGATCTGACTGAAGCCCTGAAGGCTTGGAGGTTTGTAGGTGTGAGCTAGTGAGTAGGGATTACAGATTGCTTTTGAAGGGAGAAATTCACTAATGTATCTAGGCCCAGGTGCTCCCTGGGATCTCAGCAAGGGGAGACTTGTCTGGGACTGGGATACTATAGCAGGAATGGCATAACCTTAGTACTACAGCCATAGCTAGGAACCGGTCCATAAGGAAGCCTACTGAGGTGCTTACCTGCCTCGGTATACTACCTCAAGGCTTTCTGAGTCTATATGATGAAAGGGTTTTTCTTCTGAATGGCTAAATAGGGGTCATATTAAAGGGACTAACAGAAGCCAGCTGGGGATCAGACCCTGAATCTAACAGTATGGCAGCTACATGGTGAACCCTGCTCCCATTTCAGGACTCTTGGGTGGTAGCAATAGAATGTCAGTTGGTATCCCAATCAAAACAACCATCTTTTTTTTTTTTTTTTTTTTTTTTTTTTTTTTTTTCCCATGAATCTGGAAGTCTTATTGTCCTGGAGCCTCTTAGAGGCTGGGTAACCAAGGAAGACTTGGAATCTGAAGGATGTTCATTGTACCAAAGATGAAACCAACCCCAGGCCAAAGCAAGTCAGTTCACCTAAAATGGCAACCCTTTCAGAGGAAATGAAAGAAAGGAAGAAAAAAACAAAAAACAGTTATAACTTGGACTTTACCTGGGCAAATGACACCAGATAGGATATAAATAATAAATATTATATTTAACAGTATGTAGGGATTTTGATTTCCCTGGCCTTGCTCATTTATACTTGACTTTAATAGTGAAAGCATGAAGCCATTTTTACAATACAGCTTTATGGGGCTATAGCTCATATAGCATATGACTCACTGATTTAACATATACAATTCCACACTATATAGTATTTTCCCCCCAACATGCCTTCCTATCAAGACATAGTTTCAACAGCAACACTATTGACTAAGCCATTTGTTAATTGTATTTAAGGCTTCCTCAACTGGTGTACCATATGATCCTCTTTAGCTGTGACAATTGCCTAGCTATTTTATCTCCTCATCTCCAGTGGCTCGGAGGACTGGCCCTTCCCCATCATCAGTGGTTTTCCTTGTGATTCCTACAGACTTCTAGTGCTACTTTCATGGACTTCATGAAACCCCAGTGTTTTGAATTTCACTTTTCAGTGACTGTTGTATTTATGGTCTGTATGGATTTATGTTGTATTTGTTATGAGGGATGGGATGTTTAGGGAGCAAGGAGTTACCAGCAGAGCCCCCTCCCAACACTGACCCACTCGCTGGTGTGAAGAAGGCTGTTGGGTGAATTCCAATGACCAGCCATTTCTCAGTGACTGCTTCAAGTTAGCCTATCTGTTATACTCCCTAGTTGGAAACTTAGATAATAGATATGTAAATTTCTATAATACCTGACATCTGGTTCAGGGAAACAGGTAGGGCTGGGATTGAGAATCTTAGTTTTAGGTGTTCTCTGTGGTATGGCTTGCCTGGGTCTGTTTACACCTATCATGTAGGTCACCAGTCAGTTGTATGGTAAGAGCTGTCAGGCAGGGAAAGGGGTATATCAGAAACAACCTTTGACTCTTCCCAGTTTTTGCCATTCTTAAAGCTGGACTGACCCCCTGTTCTCAACATGACTCTCACACCTTACATCCTCTATGGCTCTAGAACTAAGAGTTGGGTGTGGGACTGAGGCTGGAGCATAGAGACATGAGGATGGCTACAGAGAGAAAAACAAGCCTACCTGTCTAAGGTAGGGTTACTACTGCTGCAACAAAACACCATGACCAAAGAAACTTGGGGAGGAAAGTGTTCATTCAGCTTATACTTCCACAGCACTGTCCACCATGAAGGAAGTCAGGACAGGAAAAGGACAGAATCCTAGAGGCAGGAGCTGATGCAGAAGCCATGGAGGGATGCTGCTTACTGGCTTGTTTCCATGGCTTTGTTCAGCCTCCTTTCTTTACAGAACCTAAGACCACCACTCCAAGGATGGCATCACCCATCATGGGCTGGGCCCTTCCTTATCAATCAATAATTAAGAAAATGCCTTATAATTAGATCTTTCTGAGGCATTTTCTCAGTTGACTCTAGCTTGTGTCAAGTTGACATAAAAGTAGCCAGGACACTACCTCATCACACCACTGAGGTCCTCAAAGGGCTGCACCTTCCACTTAAGATGGGATAAGCTTGAAACATCTTTGTGGCTTAATCTGGGGAGATGTGGCACCAGGTTGGCTCTAATCCCCTGGGTCTTGTTTCAATACCTATTCTCTGAGATCTCCTGGTCCCACCCCAGCCCGACTTTGATCCTGTTTCTCCATGCTAAGGACCTGGGTTCAGCTTCTCTAGACCCCACCATTCAAGGCCCAAGAGTTGTAGTTCTAACCCTGAGGTCTGGCCACTTCTTCCCATGGGCTTGGAGGACACTTGCCATGAATGTCCACACAAGTGTGAGTCTGAGGACACCAATGGATTTTTCTAGGCTTCCTGAGAGCCCCTTGCCCCACGCTCAATTTCCAGAGGAAGGCTGGAGGCCATCATCTAGAGACAAGTTGGCTAATAACAACAGAAATGACCAGGGGGCCTGGGACCTAGCTTTGCGCCTCTATCACCTGGATGGTTTCCGGAAGTCTGAAGTGGCCTCCCACCTACGCAAGAAGTAAGGAGGTTTTGAGACACAAGGGTAAGGCAGTACAGGAGGGAACTCCCCATAGGCTTCCTCCACTGGTCATCTCACTGTTAACTTTCCCTGCACAATATCCCTTTGTTTCCCTCCAGCTTTATCACTACCCCTCATCCCTTTATCTTCATTCTGGCTCCTTCCTATCCCATCTCATTTCATCTCCCCACCCCCATTCTTGGCCATCCCTGCTTCTTCTCAGTCTCACTTGAAATTCCAGACTTTTCCTCTTGCCTATCCCCAACTCCACATGGCCTATCACAAGGAACATTGACCCAAGTAGCAGGGACAGGCTCTCTTGGGACCTGGCACCTAGCCTGGTTATATTTTCTCTTATTTGGCTCTTGCCACCCTGGGTCCCCTCTGTGCCTGCAGCTTAGCCTGATCCCCAGAACTAACTTTGTCTCCATTATCCTCTACAGCAATGACTTCAGCAAGGCTGTGGCTGAGGCATACTTGTCCTTCTTCCAGTTCGAAGGCCAGAGCCTGGACCGAGCCCTCCGGTAAGGCCTTCTGGCCCTCATAGGAAGCAGGATTTGGGTGTATGGGTGGTTAGGGACAGCTGCAGTGCGGTAGTCCCAAGCTTCTGCCTAATCCTGGCTGTCTTGGACAGGGGGTTTCTCCAGGCCCTGATGCTCAGTGGAGAGACTCAGGAACGGGAACGAATTCTCTACCAGTTTTCCAAACGCTTCCATTACTGCAATCCTGGGGCCTTCCCCTCAGTAGGTATGGAGGGTGAGTGTGGGGGTGAGGCAGAAGGATTTTGGGGTGACATAGAAATAGCCCTGTTTACTAGGATTCATTACTATAGAGAAATGAAAGGAATCACCCTTAGTGTGGGCAGAAGCCACAGAAGTCAGATTTCAATGAACCTTGTGCTTACCTTTCTCTCGGGACAGATTCTGTACACACCTTGACCTGTGCCATCATGCTCCTTAACACAGACCTGCATGGACAGGTAAGGAGTGGTAGAGCATCTAGAGAGCTAATGTGAGGGTCTGGTGGGGGACTATGGCATGATGAGGAGGGGAAGAATGGACCAGAGACTGGGAATATGTCAGGGCAGGGCCTTGCAGTTCGCCACTGACCACCTAAGAGGTATATTCTATCAGGGTGGGATGGTCAAGCTGTCCCTCTTCTTCATGGTCACAGAACATTGGAAAGAGCATGAGCTGCCAGGAATTCATAACCAACCTGAATGGGCTGCAGGATGGCAGGAACTTCCCCAAGGAGCTGCTGAAGGTAAGGCTCCTCCCAAAGCCAGGACCCTCCCCGTCTTCTCGGTCTGCAGTCAGGAGGGAAGTAGAGCTCAGACATGGTTTGGATGAAAGGTCCTTATGAGGACAAAGCTGCCTGTGTGTCCCTGTCTGGGAGTAGCGATGGTATCTTGGGATTTGGTGGCTGTGCAAATTGACATCCCTGGACCTACAGAACCACACTTTATGCATCTGAAAGTGTCCTGTTCTGTTCTCGGGGAATTGTTACCCCTTTGAAGTCTGACAAGTACTGGTGTATTGAATGAATGTATGAGACACAAAGTTTTGTGTAAGGAAAGTCCTTGTCTCAAGTTTTGCAGCTGGGTGGTCTTAGTTTTGAGTTCTCTCTTGAGCAGAACACCCCTTGGTCAATTCTGGGAGGAATGACCATCTCACAGTATCATTGCCAAGGAGAAAGCTGTCAAGCGCCATATACTATGTCTGGCTCACACATGCTTCATAAGCAACTGGACCACTGGCCCTTTCATTGACTTAGTGGTCATTGATGGAACATTCCCTGTGTACTAAGTAGCTTGCCAGGAACATCAAGGGCTATAAAAGCAAGCAAGATGAGTTACTTCAGAGTTCTAACCCAGCATCCATTCATTGATTTACCATTTATGCATTGTGTGAGTGTTGTTCAGCCAAGTTCCTTCTCTGTCGGATACCACTGGACAGGATAGTATGAGTGGGTCATGTTCCCTGTCAAAGGACTAGTTTAGAATTTACTAAGCAGAGCCTTGGCTAGTTTGATATCTTTATGACTCCAGTATTAAGCACAGGGGTGGAAGGGTGGATGGATGGATAAATTGATCATGAATGCTTCCCTGCTTGGGAGGACAGCTATGATGGGGTAGAGGGACGAGGTGTTACATATACACATAGATGTCTGCCAACAAAATGAATGTTGGTACCATAGACCCTCCACTCACCTATATGCTTCTATTCCAGGCCCTCTACTGGTCCATCCGAAGTGAGAAGCTCGAGTGGGCTGTGTAAGTGAGCACTCCTCTTTCCCTCTGCTTCTTGCACGGCATCCCTGCCTCTGAGCCTGTCAATCCACTGTTTCCCTGAGAACTGGAGAAGTTCAGGGGCCTACACAGTCCTCCTGAATGGGTAATGCCAGAGGCAGGAGGCTAGGCCAATTGTGGGGGGGAGGGGGGGAGAGGAACTTGGGCAACACTGGAGAAGCCAGAGCTGGTGAGGGATGGGTACAGCAGTGTTTCCAGGGGTTGATAGGTTAGCCTTTAATGAGGTTTCCCTTGAGAAGGTTGCTATTATGTTCCTCCCCAGTAAGAGATGGTGTTGAGCCCCAAAGAGACGGAGGGTACTTGTCCCACCAGCATTCCTACCCTGGTTCTCTGCCATCCAGAGATGAAGAGGATGCAGCCAGGCCTGAGAAGGACCAGCCCTCTCCCTCAGCTGGCAAGATAAGCAACCCCTTCCTCCAGATGGCTCAGGATCCCACAGTGCCCACCTATAAGCAGGGCATTCTGGCTCGGAAAATGCATCACGATGCTGATGGCAAGAAGAGTGAGTGTCTGATGCCTGGGAACAAAGGTGGATGTAGGGAGAGCTCCACTTAGGGACCGGGCCCTGTGTTCTGGTGCAGAGAAGAACGAAAAACCTGTGTTTCTTTTCTGAATGTGAACTAAGTGCTGAGATAAAAAGAGTCTGGCTATCCCCTGGCCCCAGCATCTCTGTGGTAAGGAAAAGACTAGACAAGCATATCAGTGTCTCCGGTGCAGGTGAAAAGAGGGCTGTGTAGAGTATGGGGGCAGGGGGAGGGAGAGGTGTTTGGGGTTTGGTTCTGAGGACTAGCTGCAGGCACCAGAGAGGCTCTGGCAAATGGTGGCATCTGAATGGAACCTTGTAAGATAAGAGAGTTTGAATTTTTTGCATGATCTGAGCCCATCCATTGGAGCAAAGAGTATTGCAGAATCCACTCAGAAAGGATATATGGCAAGGATAAAATCTGCCATAATCAACATTTGGGGCTCACGCCCAGGGCAGTTAAAAGCTCTTGAGCAAGGCAGCTGCCTGACCAGAGCAGAGTTCGCTGTGATTAAACAGTACATGGTGGCTAACACTGTCCTGAGTGGAACTCCCATGGATAACCACAGGAAATCGGGCCTCCCTCTGGCCATGTAGCTTAGAACATGTTTTGCTTTACAAGGCCAGGATGAAGAGAGAGAAATTAGGAAGAGAGAGAAAGGGGATGGGTTCTCCCTGAGTAGGCAAACACATCACACTCTGTAGGGAGGGAGCTGCGTAGAATCATTTGTCCCTAAGTACATGTAACTGGGGAGAGGTGGTCTTCTTGAACACCCACTTATAAGTCAGTTCTCTGGTTTTGTCTCTGTGTATGGAGCCGTTCAATGTCTATTTTGATTATACATGTTTTCTTGTGTTCCTGTGCCTCCTAGTGAGGGACTGGAGGTGGTGCAAGAGGTGTATGACAGGACTCTGTGCATATTTGTATTGAGTATATCTGGATATAGTGCCACCACCCACCTTTGTGTCTCCCTTTGGAACAGCGCCATGGGGCAAGCGAGGCTGGAAGATGTTTCACACCTTACTGAGAGGGATGGTTCTCTACTTTCTGAAGGTAGGAAGGGAGTCAACGGCGTGGAGTGTTGACTTCCCAGGGCTGGGGGAAGAAGGATAGAAAAGTGTTTTGTAGGCTGGGGATGGTTGCTTAGGATGCCAGTTACAGAGGCTTTAGGAGTGTAAAGCCGATGAGGGCCATCTCATTCTGGATGCATGCCAGTTGTTACTGTGCTATTTAGAACCCAGCCAATCAAGGAGAGGTCCAGAACTGTGGGATGGATGGGCAGCTGATAACCTCTGCATTGAGCCTCTATGTCTGGTGGCAGGGAGAGGGCCCCTGGCTGGAAGAGCAGAGTTTGGTGGGACATCTCGTGGATGAGCCCGTGGGAGTGCACCACTCGCTAGCCAGCCCAGCCACCCACTATACCAAGAAGCCACATGTCTTCCAGCTTCGGACTGCCGATTGGCGTCTCTACCTCTTCCAGGCACCGTGAGTCCCGAGAGTGGGAGGAAATGGGAAGATCTCAGTGCCCCTGACACTCAATGTTTATTGGTCCCAACCCTGACGGGAGCTACTATCTTAACCAGCAAACCTTAAAGTTATGTGCTGGGAAAGGCGCTAAGAATGCAGTATGAATGTGTGAGCACAGCTGACTCCTCTTGGCGCTACCCTCTTCCTTGTTCGTTAACAGAAGATTGTAGAATGCCATCAGCAATTCTTTTTGACATTTGATATAAACTCTATTGCCATCCTGGATTTTCCTCTGGCAGATAAAATTCAGTCATTCCCTCATCCCCACTAAAGTTGGGCTTCTGGTTTGGGGAGGCAACGGAGGTGTGAGGCAAGGGGAGGGCAGATGATGGGACTGAGGAGCCCTTGGGGGCGCATCACTTCTTTTACCTGCAGCACTGCCAAGGAGATGGCTTCCTGGATTGCACGCATCAACCTGGCTGCCGCCACACACTCAGCACCCCCCTTTCCAGCCGCAGTGGGCTCCCAGCGTAGATTCGTGAGGCCCATCCTGCCCATGAGCCCGGCCCAGAGCTCCCTGGTACTGTCTCACCTAACCAGCCAAATGTGCAGGGAAGGCAGAAGTGGGTGTGAGGCCCATAAGCAGTTGCCCGTCCAGCAGGTGGAGGCGGTGGTCCAAGCAGAGCACTAGAGATGAGACAGATCTGGGAGATGGGGAGCACTCTGAGTGGGACTGGGGGGAGGAGGGAGTACACAATGTGGACCATAAGTTTGAGAGAGGCAGGAACCGCGAGGGGGCAGAAGACGGGTCAGCTTCTTCGCCTTCTTCTCCCAGGAAGAGCAGCATCGATCTCATGAGAACTGCCTGGATGCTGCTTCGGATGACCTGTTGGATTTGCAGAGGAACCTGCCAGAACGACGGGGCCGCAGCCGCGATCTGGAGGAGTACCGCTTGCGGAAGGAGTATCTGGAGCACGAGGTGAGCAGCCCTCCCCGTGTCTTCCCTCTACCTGGCCCAGGCCCAGCTAGCCTGTTGGCTGGGTCCTCTGTCGCCCTCTCCTGGCTGCCTCTGTCTCAGAACCAGGAAGACTGGTTATGAGCACACCAGTGTACAGGGGTGGACAGCGTGCAGGTGGGATCTGTGAGCACTAAGGACCTTGTGCTTGTCATCCCAAGAACACTTATAGGCTACTTTTTCCTCTAAGGACTATATTTAGCTTTTCCTAACATGAATTATCCCTCCGATTACTTACCTATTACCCAGTGCTTTGATTGCCTGCATGGGTTATTGCAATGAACAATTCTGGGATAGGTAACAACAGTGTAATATAGTTTACAATCCTCATTTTATAGAGAAATTGAAGCATGAAGAGATTAGCTGACTTATCCACGTCTGTTCATTTGCTCCCCCAAGTCACATGGTCTCAACTGGAGCTGATTCGATTAATTCTAGTCTCCCCACTCACCTGTACCCCAGTTCTACCAGGGCCTTTTATCTGTGCACACTCTGGGACTCTAATGCCACATAGCAGCTTCATAGGCATTAAAGGCACTTATGGTGGGGACCCACCAGAAAGGAAGGGTTGGCAGGGTACAGTGTGAAAACAGAGTGAGCCACACACCTGGCTGGAGGCCAGGAAGGGACATCATCAATAAGGTTCTAGCTTGTGCCTGCCTGGCCTTTGTGTAGCCCATTCTCTGTCTAGCTTTCAAAGTGTCTGCCCAGACCTTTGTCTTATTGGTTGTTTTCATGGTGATGACTGCCCAACTTCCCAGAGGCCTTTGGGTAAGGACCCAACTTGTCACTATCACAACCCATCTGGGCCCTTTTTCTATTGACCAAGTCATCCTGTATTAAGCACATGAAAATAATCCACACCCAGCTAACCTCCCAGGGCAGGGTCCAGTGGGGTTGTGAACTGGGAATGGTATTCTACATTCGGGGACGCTAGTCCCAGAGGTCTTGAGAGTATTAGCAGGTGAGGGCTGTCTGCATCGTGTTCCACAGGTGCCAGTTGTTCAGGGTGGTTAGAGCCCAGTAGGCCCATTCCATGTAGATGCTTAAGAGCTGTGCAGAACAATTAGGGCCTGCCTCTACCGCCTAGCTTCAAACACCTGGGAGCTGCCCTCAGGAGCTGCGATTGTACCAAAGTGGTGTGGTTTTGTATTGCAGAAAACTCGATATGAGACATATGTGCAGCTGCTGGTGTCCCGTCTACACTCTCCTCTGGGGGACCTGGCTCTGTGGGAAGATCAGCTTGGGAGGGAAGCGGAAGGCACCCCGGAGCTGAAGCCCAGCCTGAAGAAGTCCCACTCAAGCCCATCCCTGCACCAGGACGAGGCCCCCACCACAGCCAAGGTGAAACGCAACATCTCAGAGCGCAGAACCTACCGGAAGATCATTCCCAAGAGAAACCGAAATCAATTGTGAAGCCACCACCATCTCACAGACACTAACCTCTGCTCTGGGGTAGATTGAGATGAAACTGTACATTTCAGGACCATGGTGAGGGACGAGGCATCGTCCCTCTGTGATGAAGGATGGGGTTCAGTACCCCGTGTCCTCCATTGTCTATCTCTCTAGAACTTTCTTAATCATGCCATACTTGCTCACTATCCCCCATGGCAGCTCCTCCATCACCCCATCCCTGACCATTCTACAAGGTCGAATGAGGACTTGACTCTACTTATAGAGTTTGTCCCTTGTGTGCTCCATCCCCTAAAACAGAGCAGTTTCTTTTCCTGGGCACATGCGGGCCTGGGTTTCCGGGAGATATCTTGAAGTGGTCTAGCCATGACAGCCATATCACTGGAAACAGTCTTGTTTTGGGATTAGATGACCTAGCAGGGGAGGGTCCCAGGAGAATAGAGCAGAGAATAGAGCGAGACATCTTGTGACCTAAGAAGCAGAGTTATTCCGGCACTGCCCACTAGAGGGCAGCCTTCGAGTAGGGACCATGGCCGGTTAAAGGCTTAGTGAGGCTGTGGGGCTTCAGGCTTCTGATCTTCTAGCTGCTTTATCCTCCAATCAATCAGTCATTGCCTCCAGCACAGATGAGAAGGCTGCATGCCCAATTGTTAATCAACAGAGCAGAGCTTGTAGCCTGTGCCAGGCCACTCAGTAGGAGTGGAGGCCTCCAGAGCTCTGTGGAGAACTCTTGGAACAAGGAGTCTTTTGTTTCCTGAGTGCAATGAGGGTGGCTCTTCAAGTGTAGACCACTGTGGAGGGTGAGGGGTGAAAGGGTGGTGACAGTCCCCCCTTGGGAGTCTGCCTGGTGGTGGAGGTGGAGATTGGAGACCTGGGTTCTCAACCAGATTTGGGGCACTGCCTTCTGCAGCCCCCCCCCCCCCCGCCCTTTAATGCCCCTCAAGGCCACTTTCCCAAGGCTGTCAGGACCTCTTTCTCATTCCCAAGGCAGCTCCCAGGAATTTTCTGCCTTGCCTTGGGAAATCCCTTGTACTTGTTTTTGGCTTCTTCCCAGGTATCCCTGTTCTCCATAGGAGGTTCTGGAGACTCAGGGCCCTGCCTTTGGGGAGGAAACTGGGCTCAGGGAGCCGCCACCATTGTCTCTGTTCGGTCATGTGTGCAAAGAGGTTTCTGGCCAACCTGGGGCCTCTGCTGCCCACCCTTCAACTGACACGTGGTCACCTCTTTTGCCTTCCTGCTGGCACACATCCTCCCTTCCAATAGAGCTTGTGACAACTCTAAGGGCTTGGAGCTCCACAAAGTGGGGTGGTCCTTAGGGCCATGGCAGGGGAGTCTCTGGCCCATGCACCCAATGGGTGTGCAATAAATAGAGCCTACCAAAGACACATGTGTATGAGTGTGTAAGGAACAGGGGAGGCAGGCTGCATCTTCCTCTACCCCTGTGTGATAATGTTACTGTGTACATAGAAAATGTTCTGTATGTCCATGTGTGTCCATGTATATACCCTAGTCACACAGTTAAAAACTATTGGAGCTGAGAAACATTTTTCATCTGCCTACTTTTTTCTTTCCTTTTTTTTTTATTTATTTATTTTTTTTTTCATTTTACAGATGCTATGGGACACTTTCCATGACCAGTACTAGGGGATTTGGAATTAACAAAATGCCCCAAACCTCGCAAATTGGCAGTCTTGCCCACAGTTTGTCAGTATTAAGATGCACTTTAGTTTTCTGGAGAAGCATCTGTTCCTACTTCTCTCTCACAACCAGAGATCTTTGACTGCCAGGTGGATGTACATACATGTCTGAAAATTCTTAGCCAGTTCTAAGATCTAGCAGAGGTTAACAACCATACCGAAGTGCAACTGTCTCATTGCATTGAAGAGAAAACTCAGTGTACATGACATGGCCCAGGATTGAGGGTTACAAGCTAAGTGGGTGTAAGGGAGGTTTTTTGACCCCATTAAATAACTAATACCAGAATAAAAAGTAAAGGTTTTGTCCACACCATGTGATACGCTTCAACACGCCTTTGCTTGTGTAGAACATCCATTTAATTTGAAGCTGGGAGACTATGGTTGCCTGGCTTCTCCGGGTCAGTGATGCCTGGCAGTCTGCCCTTGGCGGGTCAACCTGGAGAATGAGCAGAGTTGGAGATGTGATTGTTGGGCTGCAACTCTAACATGTGGCCACTGGAGGGCAAGCATGCACCGCCAAGTCTTTGAGCAGGTCAGGGGCTAAGGGGCCTGCTTATTAAAAAGGAAGTTCGCTTTGAACCATCACATTAACCAGATTCTCCCATGTCTTCAAACTTACAGTGGCCCAAGCTCCACCTCCCGCTATCTGGGAAAACCTATCCCAGGCAAAGACTTGAGCTGCTGTGCCTGATAGCCAAGAACAGTGAGAACTGAGTGAGCCCCACCCACAACTTCAGAGATGCACAGGTCTACTTCCCACCTATGCCCTGAGTGAGCCTTCTCCAGGGAGAAGGGGATAGGCAGAGCCTCCAAGTGATAAATGCAGCTCCTGGAAAAAGGGTCTTGTTGAACTCAACCCTTCTTCCAGCTAAAGGAGCTCAGGCCCTGGGGTCCTGGGACTGCTGTATAACCAAGGGTGATGCCTGGTGGGACCCCTTCCTGGTTCTTGGGTCTCTGATCTGATAGCTTTCTGTAAGGGGACATTCATTTATTGTCAGGCCACCATGGAAGATTAAAAAAAAAAAAATCACTGTGACCCAAGACCGAGGTCCTCTCCTTTTAGGGACTCCATGTCTTGTACAACTAGTGACAAGGGGACTGTGTGGGAGTTGAAAGTATGTAGAAGTTCAAATAAAAGGACCAAGGGATGTGGGTCTGTCCAGAGGCACTGAGTCTGGATCAGAAGGGCTCGAATACAGCCTGGAAGTGTGTCTTTTGTGCAGTGTGGTATTTAAACAGAGGCATGCTAGGCAGGTGGCTTGCTTTCAGAGGGATGAGCCAGGCGTGGTGGCTCATGCCTGTAATTCCTGCACTCGGGAGGCTGACATAGGATTACCATGAGTTCTAGGCCAGTTATGTAGTAAGTTTCTAGGCCACATAATAAGTTCCAGGCTAGCCTGGGCTTCATTTGTCTCAAACTAAACAAAACAACTATGAAATGAATAAGAAAGGTCAATGGGGACAAAACCACGGTCTTACTTTTGAAGTGTTTATGTCTGTCTAAATTATTTCAAACTTAAAAAAAAAATGTAAAAGGATAAAGAACAAAGACATAGCCTACAGCCTTGGAACAGCCTGGCCTTCCCAATCCACCCTAGGCCAGTCTTCCTAATGGCCTGTCTACACAGTTCCCTGACAACACCTTGGCCCCTAGCAGTTCTGGCTGCCAGTGTGTCTTGCCATCTTACTGGCTCACGCTTTTACCTGGGAGGATGACTCATGAATGCTGTGATTACAAGGCCAAGGCCAGCATGGACTTTTCTCCTTCTGTGGGCCCACTTTCTACCTAGCTCATTGTCTTGCCTGGCAGATAATATCCAGTGTCACCAACAAGAAATAAAGGACATCAAACGCCTTCCTGAGACTTTGTTGTTTCCTATAGCTGACAATGAGTTTCCTTCTGTCTGTGATGAACTCCCAAGATGGCTGGGCCTTACCAGCTCCTTCTTCCTTGCCTGGTTCCCATTTCTACCTAGCTCTCTATCTTCCTTCCTCCCTCCCTCCCTTCCTCCCTTCCTTCCTTCCTTCCTCCCTCCCTTCCTTCCTCCCTTCCTCCCTCCCTCCCTTCCTTCCTTCACCCCAGCCCTCTCTGAAACACCCATGAAGACTGTTGATGGCCTTCAGTCATCAAATACATTGTCCTCTCATCCAAACTCACACCAAGCAACCTTTGACCCAGTAGGCCACATGGTCTGTGTGGCTTGCACCGAGGTCCTACAGTCAGACTGAATCCCAACTGCATGTGTTTTCTTTTGTGCTTTAGCTGTGTGGCCTTGGGGCAGTTACTCTGCCTCTTGCGTTTCTATTTGCTTCTCCACAAAACAGGGATAATAACACCACTTACCTCACAGAGGAGGGAGTGGGATTATGAACGTAAACACCTCAGACAATGCCTGGAAGGAAAGCCTGCCTGGTTAACTATTAGCTTGAAGCCTCCCTGTATCACACTAGGAATCCTACCTGCCTTCTCTGGTCTTGGGCTTAATTCCTGTCTTCAAACAGCCATCTTGTTTGGAGCTGGACCTCTGCACTTGACTCTTCCTCTATCCAGAGGTTCCAGGTAATGAATTTTGGTTTCAATAGGCCTTAGCAGCATCTGTGGCAGTGATTGGAACACAGATGAAATGTCTCTCTCATTCCTCTGGGGTTCCCCATCCTGATCTAGAAGATGGGAGTAGCCCAGGGTATCAGGAGGGCTCTCAGCACTCCCATTAGTGTGACTCTAACAGAGGCTTCCATCTCAGGCCCCTGAGTCTGTCTGAGCTAGCAGCCTCGGGGCCATACCTGAGTCAGTCATTTAAACCAATTCCATCTTTCTTAGGAGGTGGTTGGTGTGAGTGAGGCCAATATCATCTGAGAGACAAGGGGAGACAAGGGCCAGTACCAGATGCTGAGAATCTCTGAGCTCTGAAAGGACAAATTAAGAGAATGCATGGTGGGACAAAGCCAGCTAGAACCAACATGGCACTACCTCCAGGAAATTTCCCCTGGGTCTCCTACAGCCACTCTGAAATAAAATTACTCTCTTTCTTTATCTTTTCCCCTTCTTTGCTCTCATCCCTCTGCTCCATGAAGAATGCAGCCTTTCAAGGGCAAGAGCTAGGTAGGGCCTTGCTCCTGGGTCTGATATCTAGGGTCCTTTTTATCATTTGCTTCTTAAACTCACTCTCTCCAAGGTGCCTGCACCCTCAGAGTCCCTCATTGGCTGACTAGGGACTATGAGAAGGACTGCAGGGAGGAGTCTCTAAAGAAAACCTTTAGCCCAGATTTTTCATCTGAATTTCAGACCTGGAGTTCTGTCTCTATGACATGCCTACACAGTAGTTCTTGTGGAAGTGCTGAGTACTATACAGATGTCACTTATTACACCCACAATTTGACTTAGTGTTATCTCCCCAAGATTGATCTGACTCCCCATACTAGGGAGAGACAGTTCTTCCCTGCTTTGAAAGACAAAACCTTGGAGCACAAACATATTTTACACAATGGCTTTTTGCCTCACTGATCTCTCAGTTTCCTTCCATCAGGAACCTAACACAGGACTGGGCAGAGGAGAGATTCTTCCTCCGTCTGCAGAATGTGTTGCCCATGTATCTCAGGCCCTCTTCCTATATCCAATCACCACCTTCACCTTCAGTTGGATCTAGCTTGGAACAAGTCTCTCCCTTGAGCCCCTGACCTTGTCTGCCTCCAAAATTCACTGAAACTATGTCCCAGTGGCAGTGGACAGAAGCGAGGGCATTGAGACCCTCTTTGTTCAAGATGTTCTGAGTCTCTGTGCTCCCAGTGGGCAGAGCCTGGAATCAGCCATGTTGCCTGTCCCTGGTGGATGCTGCCTGGGGCAGGCCTGTGGGGAATTGGGACTCTACTTAGTTAGCTCTCTTTTATGGGGGCGGGGAGCACAAAGGAAATCATTTCCTTTAGAGCCCCAAGTGCTATCTGAAATAGTGCTTCTCCTGAGACTCAGAACATGGAATGAGAGCCAACTATGTGACAATGCTCACCTTTTCCATCCACACCTGCAGTCTAAATGGGCTCTGCTACCACCCAGAACCCATTTTCCAACTGGGGTATATTTTCTATGGTCTCAATGCTTTCTTTTTCTTTCTTTCTTTTTCTTTCTTTCTTTTTTTTTGTTTTTTTTTTTTTTTTTATACTTATCTAACTAATGTATCACATGCATTTCCTATGAGATGCCCCAAATCCTCCCAGGAACAAGGTAGGGAATACATGAATACTTAAAATAAAATAAACAAGGCATCTGTGTGTGTGTGTGTGAGAGAGAGAGAGAGAGAGAGAGAGAGAGAGAGAGAGAGAGAGAGAGAGAGACTTTGGAAATTCCTTAAAGTCAGAGACCATGTCTGTTTATATAGCACCTGGCACAGTGTCAAATTAAGGCTTAACAAATGAATTCAGATGAAAAGAGGGGAGAAGCTGCATAGACTCTGTGTCTCAGGTCTCCAAACTCCCTGTCTGTTGGAGACTGCTTCCTCATGCTGACCACAGACTCTCTTTTTGACCATCCACGTCTGGCCTGTGGACCCCACCTGTCCTCATACTTGCCATAACCTACCTGATCCTTGCACACGCTGAACTCACAAATGCTACTTTTCATTCTCAGACAAGAACACACCCACACCTGGCTCCCAGCTTCCCTGTCAGAGAACCCACCTAGCCTCTCCCACA